ATCTATGATCTCGACGAAGGTGTTGGGGCCCACGCGATTGAAATCTACCCGGGGATTTTGAAGGTGGTGGTTAGGAATGAGAGCGGGGACCGCCGCGGGGAGGAGGAGGAGGAGATGGAGATGGACAGGTGGCGCTTTTGGTTGCCGAGTGGGGCTTCGCCGAGATTGGCGACGGCGAAGCGTGTTGGCGGGGAGTTGGTTGTGATTGTGCCGAAGGGGACCGAGGATGAGGATGAGGAAGAAGAGGGAAGAGAGGAGTTTGGTATTTGTCAGTTGGTTCTTGTACAATGATGGTTCATTTCTGTTGATTATTATTGTACGTTTGATGCTCTGGGTTGATGAATCAATGATCAATGTTTGCGAATTCGAAATCATGGTTTACTCTTTTCTTTCAAAAATTCAAATAAGTTATAATTTATTCCGATATATTTCTTATTTATTTTGACACCTAAAGCTTTGCTATGTTATAGGAAGGAAGAAGGAGGTGAAAAGGTCTGATGTGTAGTTACTTAATCCTGTGGTAGTTCACTGGAATTTCACAAACTATTTATTTTGATATTGCACCAATTTGATGGTTCATAGTTGTGGTTGTAGATTGGTTGCTTATTATGTGTGAAAGCTGATGTTTATGATTGAAGAAACCAGTGAATGATTATCAAGGGTCTAACCATATGCTTGTTGCGGGTATGGTTCAGCTCATTTAAAGTTGCGTTTGCCATTTTTATATGCTGATAGCTTGCTTGTGTGTTTGTGTTTAGTTTCTAGTATATTCGGGCCGCAATTTATGTGAATGGTTAAAGAACTACTATGATATTCATATGAACTGGACTTTGCTATTATGGTATTCATATATAGGCTTCTAGAACTTCAATTGTATCATTATCATCAGTGTTTATAGTTTTCATAAACTTGTGTCTTGTTTTGCCAGCCTGTTATACTCAGCTGGTCCTTGCACTCAAAACCTTTGATGTTTGAATGATATACACATGCACGAAGTACATTTGCACATCTATAGGGAGTGAGGGAATTTATGTATGTAATTTTTGTACACACGCACATGCATGCATGCCCGTGCATAGAGAGACATACATGCATGTGTATATATAGTTTCTATTGTTGTCTCATTTCCTAGTTCCCTTTGATGGCTAACTGATTTCTTCTTTCCTACTACACACGCATGAATCTTTTGTAGCCACCATATATTTCATCGAAATTCTTTGGCTCAACATAGTTTTGTGCTTATGGATGGCGGTTTATTAATAACTTGTATGCCATGTTGGTTTGTAGTTTCTCTAATATTTCTCAAATGTTACTGCAATAAAGATGTGAGCTTATGATGTTAACCTCTACGAGAGAAGAACTCACTGATTTGAGGAGAAGCTTGAATTTGAAGGATAAATTGATTGAAAAGTACTATGACATTGAGATGTCATGAGGTAATTTCTAAACTCAAATAAGAGTTTAAGTTGAATAAACAAAGGAAATGAAGCTTGTTATTGTTTGGATGAGGTTGTGAAAATGATAAGAGAAGAAATGAATTTGATGGGTGAGCTTGCAGAAGAAAAGAGGAAGAAGATGTTAATTTTTATAAGAGGATTGTTTGTACTCTTTACTCTTGTATAGTTTCTCCAGAATTGCTTGTAACGTGTCATGTTTCATTGTTACTCTTGTATAGTTTCTCCAGAATTGCTTGTAACGTGTCATGTTTCATTGTTCAGTTGATTATACTATATGTTCTTGTGGTTTGGTTCCAGAATTGCTTGTAACGTGTCATGTTTCATTGTTCAGTTGATTATACTATATGTTCTTGTGGTTTGGTTATACTTAGATAAAAAATTTAATAAAATGTATTGTGTCTATTTAGTGATCAATTTTGGTGTAATTTATTACGATTGTATGTGAAATGTATTGTGGCTATCATGTGAATATGTACAAGTTCATTCAAATAGAACAATTTGAATGGAAAGAGTATGTTTTTCACAGATCTAATTTCTAGATTAGAGACTCACTAAGGTTACAATTTTCCTTATAAGCAAGTATGTTTGAGGGAATTGCTTATGAAATCTCAAATACAAAGGAAAAATATTGCAAGTGATTTGCTATTTGTGATCCTAAACATGCTTAAAATCACAATGTTGGAGGATCAACAATTTGGTGTGTACTCAATCATGTGTGAGAAATTGATTCATGACATAAGAAGTATGAAGCTTGTTAACTTTCAGGTGTATATGCTAACAATATGAAATGAGCATGTTAACTCTCTATATGTTAGCTGAAAATGTTGGCTTTAACCTGAACATGTTAGCTTTCATGTGAGCATGTTAACTTTTATCTGTATATGTTAACTTTCAGGTGTATATGTTAACATTCACGTGAACATGTTAACTATCAGCTGTATATGTTAACTTTTATCTGCATATATTAACTTTCTTATGAACATATTAACTTTCAGCATAGTATGTTAACTTTCAGCATAGTATGTTAGTTTTCTTATGAAGATTGTTTGATAGGATGAATGACATGAACTTGATTTTAAAACCCAATTTAATTGGATCTCGCAAGTTTGTTTGTGTTTTATCGAAGTTGTAATATGTGAATTTGTAAGAATATTCATATTGTGTACTCAAGCAATATCACCTGAAAGAAGTTTTAAAAGCAGCTTATCTTTTTTTATTTTATCGACTATGTTATCTTTTAGCTGAATAAATTATCGTTTACGTGAACGTGTCAACTTTCTTCTTCAAGTGTTAACTTTCATCTGAAGATGTTAACTTTCATCCTAGTATGTTAACTTTAATTGTTACATGTTAACTTTCATCATTATATGTTAACTCTCATTGTAACATGTTAATCCAAAATTAAAACAACATACAAAAATGAAGACAAACATATGCCTCATTGTACCAACAGACGTGTATTAGAATTGACGCATTGGAACTTCAAGAATAAGAAAAAACCCACTAAAGTAAAACTTGCTACAACTTCTCATGATATCTTAAATATATGTAAATCGTTCAAGACCACAATTATGGGTCATTCTTCTACTCAGTTTCGAATACAACCACAAAAAAATAACTAACAAATCATAAGTTCTCACAAGTTCAGACATGTTTTCTTATACAAATATCTTACAAAAAACACTCCAATCTCCATGCAAATCTACAATTTTTAGTATACATGCAATCTTTAGAAAGAAGTTGAGCTTGATCTTCGCAGTTGATGCTTTGGTTCTGGTGGCGGCGCAGAATGTAATATTGTTCTCTTCTTCAAGTCGTGAGACATTGATCTCTAGTTCATTGGTGTATGTCTATCCATTACAAAAACAAGCTTCTCTCAAAACACAACACATTCATAAGATGAGAAAAATTAATCATTCTGAGAAAAAGTTAGCATGTTATGAAAAAAGTTAACATATTATTATGAAAGTTAACATATAACAGTGAAAGTTAACATATTATGATGAACGTTAACATGTTTAGCTGGAAAGTTACAGTGAAAGTTAACATATTATGATGAACGTTAACATGTTTAGCTGGAAAGTTAACATGTTACGAGAAGAGTTAACATATAATAATGAAAGTTAATATGTACCGGTTAAAGTTAACATAGGATACATGTCATGTTCTTATTGATCATGTTCTTGCTGATCATGAGATTTGACAGACATTCTATGTTCTCATGAGATTTAACATTAATCAAAATTTTACTTATTTTGTCACAAATAAGAGACAACCAAACTGTATGGTTAAATAAATAGCACAATTATCGGCTAGAGCTTTTAGATGTTATAAATGTTGCAGCACTGGATTCACAAAGGTAACGTCAGCTGATAAAAAACTTGATAAAATAAAAATTCTAAGCCATTGCAAAACACAATCTTACAGTTAAGAACACACCAAAAAGAGAAAATTAGTAGCAAATTCTCAAAGTAACAAATGGGCACAACAAAACAAATGATTTTTTTCTTCTCATATATAATGAACAACGAAGAGGTGGTGGTTAATTCCTTAGAGGGCTGTAGTCTTGGGGACATAGACTTACATTGGTCATACCACAGAGTCTCAAGACTCCCAAATAAAATTTCACATGTTTATGTGTAATACTAATCTTATCACTTTAGTGAAGCAAAATGACAAATAACTGGTGTGCAGGGCACAAAAGAGCCACAAGAATCAAACACACATATATAATCATAGGAAAGTGGGTTACGCCATGAACCTGCACCTATAAAACCACTTAAAGGAAAATAAAATTCAAGAACTGAAATAATTAATCACTCGCCTGATCACCATCTTCAACATTAATACACTCCCCCTTTGCCCACTTCATTTGCCTCCAAATCTCCGATGCCTTGAACTGAAACTCCTCTCTGCTAGCCGGAAAACAAACTGAATACAGTAAGTCTCCATCTCTCTCTGGCACTTTGGTCACCAGTCCTTTCCACCAGACTCCGTTGTAGAACGCCTCGACGCACTGGTGGAGCTCGAAATCAGTAGCGAGATTCGCCGGCGGAGGCCGCGGCCGTATCATAGTGTGAAGGGTCTTCTCCTCGAGAGGCTTGAGGGGTATGAGATGTTCAACGATGAGAGTAGAGTAGGAGACGATGGTCGATCATTGGCCGGCGATTGAGAGGAGGATGGCGAAGGACCGGGAGGGGAGGAAAATGAGGGGAGGAGGAGGGGGAGGAGATTGAGAGGTGGAGGAGAAAACCACAAAGAAGAAGAAGAAGAAGAAGAAGAAGATAAGAGAGGGGTATTTTCGGAATGTTTTGGGATGTATTCATGGGAGAGTGTGAAAAGGGGGCTGAACATATTTTTTAGGATTTTAAGGGTTAAAGAGTAAGAAAAAAAGATGGGGGGTTGGGCCACATCCCCTTTATTTCTTTGGAGCCTAGACACAATTTTCCCCTTAAAAAGAAGCCGAAAATAAAAATATGGCCTGAAAAGAAAGCAAGATGAAGGGATGCTTCTTCCAGTTACGCGTATTTGGGCCAAGCCCAGACTAATACCCATTACAGCCGGCCCAATTACAAGATTATCTTCTCCCCTCCGCTTCTCCAACCTCCGCCATTTTCTCAATGGCGCTTCCTCTCTTCCCCTCTCCCTCTCCTTCTTCCTCCTCCTCCTTAATCCCATGCAATCTCATCCTACCACTTCCCCATCAAAGAGCCCACTTCAAACTCTACGCCCATCTCCCAATTTCCACTCACAATGGAGAAATTTCCCCTCAACTCGAACCCCACGCCGACCCAACTGAGATCAAAAAGAACAGAAAGAAGAAGAAGATCAGGCCTAGCTTTTATGAGCAGACTCTGGAGCGCTGGTCACTTAGAATCTCCTCACAGAGGTCCAAATACCCATGGGAGAAGAAGAAGGATGATGGGCCTTCTCTCACTGCTTCTTCAGGTTTGGCTTCTGATCAATTTTTGGATAATTCTAGGGATACCCATTTGAGTTCTGGGGTTAATTTTGAAAACCCAGAAAGGGAATTTGAAGTTAGTGAGGTTGGAAGTTTTGGTAGCTCTGAAGGTGGTAATTTTGATAAAGATGAAGGCTCTTTTAGAGTTCAGAGGGGGGCTGCACCTTGGATTCAGAAAGAGACTGCTCCTTGGGTTCATGGAGGGAAATCTCGACAGGGTCGTAGGTCTGGTGGAGAGCATGAGAATAAAGATGAGGCTTCGGATCATAATGAATCCAAATGTAATCCAAATGAGAATGATGATGTAAAGCCTAAGGTAGATAGAAATGATTCAAGACACGATGCAATAGATACCATTGCAGAAAACTCAATGGCAACTCTTGAATTTGATGCCCAGAGTGGCAAGAGTAGTGTGAGTTTGATAGTTGATGAATTGAAGAGCTCTTTGGATGAAGACAAACCAAGCCCAGACAATGCATCAAGTACTAGTCATGATGTTGTTAAGCTCTTAGGTTCGGTGCCATTTCCATGGGAGAGTAGTAATGGTAGAAATGGTGAGAAGTTCCATAAGAGAAGTAACACTGAATTGGCAGAGAAAACTATACCGGAGCATGAGCTTCAGAGGCTTAGAAATGCCGCGCTTAGGATGAAGGAAAGGATGAAAGTAGGGGCGGCGGGGGTTACGGAGGCTCTTGTGGAGAGCATTCACAAGAAGTGGAAGGTCGACGAGGTGGTTAAGTTATGGTTCGCAGGCCCACCGACTTTGCATATGAAGAAAACTCATGAAATCTTGGAGGTGAGTTTTCTTTCACTGAATAATTGCAGATAATTGCATTCGCCGCAGATATTTCCTCTTGTCTATACCTTTAGTAGAATTTATCACCCATTAACTCGTTCATTAGCACTCATCATCCCTGGGCGTGCCATTTTGAGAAGGCCTAATTGAAGACAGACTCCCTGTACTATCACCCAATTGTGGATGCAAAACCTTGTAGTTCTATTGTTGCAGATAGCCCCTGAGTGAAATTTTTTTGACTCCCTCAGAGAAAAAGAAAATTGTCTTTTGACAAATAATAGGCGTCCTGATGGTAAACGAGTCAAAAAATTTCGCTCGGAGATCTATCAATAGAATTACAGGGGGTCTGTCCGTAATTAACCCTTTTGAAAAGAATGAATTGCAGATGACCCTCTCCCATTTACGAAGTGAGAGTCAAGAGTGCTCAGAAACTAATTGAGGGGGATGAGCGTTATGAATGTATGATGGAGTTATCTATGATTTAACCTTTTTATTTTTTAGGAGAAATTTCAACATATAAAACACAACCCATGCTTTTACTCTGAATTTGATGTATAATGTCCGAATATTCTCAGAGAAAAACAGGAGGTTTGGTGATTTGGAGGTCCGGAAGCTCAATTGTATTGTATAGAGGAATGACCTACGAGCTTCCTTGTGTGCAATCATATTCTAAACTTGCCGCTACTGATTCTAGTCACAAAACCATTGATGCTGCCAAAAACACAATGAACCATTTTATAAAGGATTCAAAACCTTCAGATTTGTCGAAAGAATCTGCCGAAAATTTTGACATTGACAGCTTCCTGGATAAGCTAGGACCACGATATCGGGATTGGTCTGGATGTAATCCGATTCCTGTTGATGCTGACAGGCTTCCTGGTTTAGTTCCTGGTTATACACCACCATTTAGACTTCTTCCCTACAAAACAAAAGGCGCCCTGAAGAACAGGCAAATGACGTCTTTGCGTAGGCTTGCCAGAACTATGTCTCCTCACTTTGCTCTTGGTATTGATCCTTAATCTTAGGGTAAATTTCAAAGAACTCCCCTGAACTTTAGGGGATTTGCACCCCCCCCCAAAAAAAATTAAATATTTATATATATATATATATATATATATATATATTATATATATATATATATATATATATATATAATATATATATATATATATATATATTATTATCATAGAAAACCCCTCTAATGATTGAAAATTCTCATAAAACCCCCTAAGTTGTCTCATGCATAGCACTACGACTCTACGAGACATGATACTTGAGTGAGACAGTCATGGGAGTTTTCTATGGTTTAACAAGTTGGGGGGGGGGGGGAGCTGTGCAAAAGCCTTAAACGTTCACGAAGGGCCTTTGTGAGAATTACCATAAGCTTTTATTAGTAGTCATCAACGTCCTTAAGTGAGCAACTTTTCTTCTGGATTTTTACCATCATTTGTTCTGTTGTAGGGAGAAACAGACAACACCAAGGCTTGGCTAAAGCAATGGTGAAGTTGTGGGAGAAAAGTGCTATTGCAAAGATAGCCATCAAACGTGGTGTGCCAAATACGTGTAACGAGAGGATGGCAGAAGAAATCAAGGTGGAAACTGTGACATGATTTATAGTGGTAGGACTTAGCAATATATTTATTTCTATGTGAATACGAATTACATAGTGTTAACTATATATGACTATTGATTTTGCTGCTTTGTTCTATTGTTCACAAATTATGGAAGAAAGATTGTTTAACTGTGAATTTGCTCATGTTAGATCTTACTGTCTGCTTACTTTTGTCTTATACTTCCGCATGGCAATTATTATTCTACTTTTTAATGAAAAAGACTATCAAGTAGAGTATGGCAGAATACAATTAGAACCAGAATTTCCATAAAATTGCTCTCACAGTCAGTAGCATTAGCTAACACTTTGCACTTGTTGATGTTCATTATTTGCCTTGTCTTTACAATCATCTGGCATTCATGTTGAATTGGGAGAGTAGATGGTGTGTACCTTTTCATGGTAATTTGCATTTTTCATGTTCTGAATGCCCTTGCGTAGGTTATCTTAGCTGCACATTTTGATGTGTGTAGTTTTCTTTTCAATTCAACATTTATTCAGATTTATTTTATTGATATTGCGACTTTATTTACTTGTGTAGTTGACATCCATAAGGAAGCTGTATGCAACATTCCCACAGGCCTTTTGCTAAGGATTATCACAAAAATGTTGGTAGGATAACAGTTCTAGTTTGCTAATGAACTACTGTTTGTGCAGTTAATTGTAGTTCTAGTGTCAAGAATGAGGAATATTTTAAAAAATAATGTATGATATGGTCATGTATTTGGTGTGGTTAAACTTTTAAAACCTTGAACAGTGTATTTCTATAATCCAGATAGGAAGGACTGGGGTATTACTATTTACATGTCTTTATTATGATCAAGTAGGTAGTTGCTTTTATGTAACGAAATCCAAAACTAATAACTTTAAAGTTTAAAAGGAAGGGGTAAATTTTAGAAAATGCACCAAGCTTTAGGATATTTATGATGAAACCCTGTTGGACTTGGTTTATTCAACTAAACTATCCAGACTTTTCCAACAAAATCCCCAGAACTATAAAGTGTCTCAAATGACCCCCCCTAGACTTTTAACTTCTCCGTGTACTGTTCACTGTCAAATTATGCAAATGCCCTCAATGAAAAATAAAACCTCCTAATATTCTGATTAGTTGTAAGATTGAATCAACTTTAAAGAACCATTTTTAAGCGAGTACAGAACAATATGAAACATGTAAGACATTAACATGCATTTCAGTGTTAGTATTAATAGACTTAGGTGAACTTCATCTCATATCCTTAGTTGTATTAAGATTACCTAGAAGGCATATTCTTTGAAATAATCTATATAAACTATGTGATTTACAGATTTTCCACCACAATTTGTTATGATGATCAAAGTTGCGTTTCTCAATCTCTGCTGTTTTGTTTTGATACTTATTCCTCAAAACTGCATATTCTGATTATGTTTTGATCATTTACAGAAATTGACTGGAGGAGTACTCGTTTCTAGGAACAAGGAGTATATTGTCTTTTACAGGGGAAACGATTTTGTGACACCTTCAGTTAGGGACGTACTGGTCGAAAAACAAAAGCAAGCAATTGTTCAGCAAGAGGAAGAAGAAGCTGCTCGAGTTAGAGCGTCTGTTTTGATTTCTAAACCTAAAATTTCCAAGGGGCCATTACTTGCTGGTACTCTTGCAGAAACTCTTGAAGCAAATAATCGTTGGGGACATCAACCAAGCGCTGAGGAGAGAGAAAAGACGAAGAGAGATTTAGCTATAGCTAAACATACTTCTCTCGTCAGATACTTCGAAAAGAAACTAGCATTTGTGAGTTCATATGAATGACAACTTAAATTATTATGCCAATCATTATATAGTTAGTGCTAATTTGGAATATCCTCCAACTTACTAGGCAAAAGCAAAAGTAAGAAAGGCGGAAAGGGCTTTAGCGAAAGTACAAGAGTTTCTGGATCCTGCAGAACTTCCAACTGATCTGGAAACTGTTACTGATGAGGAGCGCTATTTATTTCGTAAAATGGGACTGAAAATGAGAGCTCATCTTCTTCTAGGTAGAACCATACAGGTTCATTTTTCGATAAATTTCACAAAAACCCCTGAACTTTGGGGGGTTTTAACAAAACCCTCAAACTTCATAAATCGTGAACAACTCCCTCTCCACCACAAATCTTTGCAAATTCTCATAAACGTCTTTAACAGATAAGAGTAAAAAGTCTGAACTACCCTTTTAATTACACATTCTTGATATGGGTAAAAGTGTTCAAAAAGTATCATGTGAAAAATATGAGACTATTCAAAGGAACTATCACCAAACATGATTTATAAGGTTTTCTTTTTGTTTTATTTTTTTAGGGTTTTTTTTTTTTGGAGGGGGGGGGGGGGGGGGGGGGTTCATGGTTCATTGTTTTATTAAAAATTTAACCTGTATCTTATTTACTCCTCTGTTAGCCTCCCATGACACAGCATGAAATCAATTGTGAAGATTTTCACTTAACATTGGAGTCTATGTTGGTTTTAAAATCAGTTATTTGAAATGGGGGAAAAAATCTTTCTGTTCCTATTCACAGGGAGAAGAGGAATTTTTGATGGTACTGTCGAAAACATGCACTTAAACTGGAAACACAAAGAGCTAGTTAAGGTTCTTGTGAAGGGAAAAAGTTTTGCACAAGTCAAGCAGATTGCAATCTCTCTTGAGGCTGAGAGTGGAGGAGTCTTAATTTCTCTTGATAAGACCACAAAAGGTTATGCAATTGTTGTCTATCGTGGAAAGAATTATGAACGCCCGAATACTCTGAGACCTAAGAATCTATTGACAAGAAGACAAGCATTAGCACGTGCTATAGAACTCCAGAGACGAGAGGTGACATAAAAAATTAATAATCTTCATTATGATTTTCTTTTTCAATATATGACATTTTTATGGGGAACGTGCAGGCTCTAAACCATCACATTTCAGATTTACACGAGAGAATTCAGATGCTGAGATCTCAACTAGTATGATGTTGCTAGTTCACTTATGTTACCATACTCATTAAATGACATTTTCTTTTTTATGTTTTCACTAAGAGTTTTTTTTTTCTCATGTCACTTCAGGATAATGTGGAGGCTGATAAAGATGTGGGCAATGAACACATGCACATAATCAAATATGACACTTTTCATTCTGATGATGACATGGAGGTTAGGGTCTAGATTCATTTCTGTGTTACCAAATTGATTTTGGCTAATGAGTTACAGAATTTAATTGAAAGAAAGTATGAGCAGTCGGTAACTGGTATGAATCTGTGTTTGCAGTGAAATTGCATGTTAATTGGCCATAAGTTTTATACTATATAAATCTATTTTAATTTTGTGTTTCCTCATATTGGTCAGATTGTCGCGCAGTATCAGTTTTTTATTAATCTACATTTCATTGCTTCGTCCTGGTTCTGATAGTTTAAGCTGAAATATACTGAAACATGCTGAAAACCAGTGAAAATTAATGACAAATGCAGAAAATGGAAGTTGAAGATATAATCGCACTGTGTAGATAACATGCACAAACACAAATGAGTCGAATAAACTCAAAGTACATGCATACTACTCAAAGTGTCATTTACAAGAAGAAGAAGAAGAAGAAGAAGAAGAAGAAAACCTTTATCCCAAATTTTTGGGGTCAGCTATGTTGATCCTACTCTTCTATTCAGTTCTGTCGAGAGCTATCTCCTCCACTAAGTTAATCATTATGATACATTTCGTAATAGCTACTAATCAAGTTCTCTTAGGTCTACCTCTTCTCCTCTTTCTCTATTAATTATAATATTATCACTTTACTCGACACATTTATTGCCCTTCGTTGCACATGATAAATCAATCTCAAACAATTCGCGATCATTTTGTTGTCACTAGTAGAAGCCTCTAACTTTCTACATATGTGCTCATTTCTTATCATGTATCCTAGTTTATATCCACTCATCCATTGTAATATTCTATTTTCTGGTCTCACTCATTTTTCCCACATGTTGTTTTTTAATTGCCTAAAATTCTGATCCATGAGGTATTGTTGGTGAATTTCCGTTCAATTTCAGTGGTATTCTCAGATCACACATTACTCCAGAAAGGCTCCGCTTTAACCATTTGACTCGATGAACATCATCTCCCTCAATCACTCTATTTTGATGAATAATTTTGGCAAATGAGTAAGGTTTAATTGAAGGTGTCAATATTCTGTAACTTATGAATTCATCATTGTAGTGAAATTTCAAGTTAACTCGCCATATGTTTCATGTTACATCAATATGTTTTAGATTTGTACTTCTGCATATGGGCCTCGTATCATCGGGTATCAGTTCTTTTATCAGCCTGCAACAGTCTAATTTCAGTTTTAGACCCATGAGTTGAGCGAACTCACACTACTTGCACCTATACTTAAATATTCATTTTCCTATAAATATTCTTAAGTACATGAATCCTACAAACAATTGTCATCCACATAAATTGATATACTGTATCCTCATGCGGACACCTGTCTTTCATAAGTTTTTTGTTCACTATCGTTGTCTGCAAGTTTGTGCATGTGTGCTCGAAATCTCAAAATCATAGCTTCTTTTGTTTTATGACATCAAATCCCGTGTGTGCATGTGCACGTGTAATTTCAAAGCCGTAGTTTCTTTGGTTTTAGGATGTCGTTGACTGTTATGGTGTTTGTCCATATCATACTTAGAGCATGTTTGGCTACTACTTATTTTTGGAATACTTATAAGTGACTTGTTATTACTTGTTACTTACTCTAACAACTCCTTACAAGTATGTAAGAAAATAAGTCATTGGTAAACCCCTTAACTTATAAGGATATATAAGTAGTTATGTGTTTGGTAAACCAATAACTTATAAGGTTGTGTAAAATGTCAAATGACTAAAAAGAACGTATTGTTGTAACTTCATATTATTACTAATTGAGATTAATTAATTAAATTCATATTAGCAAAATATTATTATTAATAAAACAATTAATTAATTAAAAATTATCTCATAATAAGAAATATATTTGATTAAAATATTTTTATATAGTAAATTTATTTGTGAGTATTAATTACTAATATTGGGATTAAGTAATTAATTTCCTATTAATAAAATGTTATTAGTAATCAAATAATTATTAATTCATAAAAATTAGTTATCTAACAGTAAGAAATATATTCTATTAAAAATGTTTTTATATATTACATTATTTGTGATTATTAATCAGTAATATTGAAATTAATTAATTTCATATTGAAATAATAATTATTATTAATAAACTAGTAACTATTAATTAATAATATGATCACTTTATTAGAAGAACATATTTAACTAAAAAACATTTTATATATCAAATTATTTTTTGTTCTTAATTACAAATATCGACAGTATTTAGTTAATTAGTATACAATTAAATAATTTTAATTAATACTATTATCAAACAATTATTAATTCTATTATTTTATAATAATAAAATTATTTAATTAAAATAATTAATTAAATGAAATTATGCAATCCGGTCCTCAAGAATAAAAGGAATATGAGGGTATATGTGTCTTTTGGCCAAAATAAGTAAACTTCTTGATAAGTGGATGAAAAGATAAGTTAGGAAATCCCAACTTATTTTTTGCCTACTTATAAGTAATAAATAAGTGAAATAAGTCACTTTTACCAAACACCATATTAGCTACTTACAAGTAAAAAGTTACTTATAAGTAGAATTGTAGAAATAAGGAGGTTGCCAAACATGCTCTTAATGCTAAAACAAAGTCATTGTTTTGTTATTTGTTTTATGAAACTTCCTTTCAATTTATGATACAAATACTTGATTTATCACCTTGATACAGCAAGATTTCTTTGGATAATAATCTAACCTCTAGTGTGTTTTAATATCAGGACGAAGGGGAAGAAGCCTACCTTGCGACGTATGGTAGTGGTGATGAAGACGGTGGTGCTGCTTCATTCGATGGACTTTGAGTGGAAAATAATGTAAATTACATTACACGATATTTAACGGTACTGAAATAAGGAGCAGGAGATTCAAAGATATCGTCGGTATCAATGGCTTGTGTTAGTGGCTCGTCTCTTTATTGTTGGGATCAGAATGAAGCTTCTGGAGCTTGGCTACATATCGAAGAACAGTTCGTATTTCTTGCTCATTTACATCACCTTTCAGTTTATTGTAACATAAACTTGATTCATCATGTTGAAAGTAGCATTGCTTTTCTTTAGAAATAGACTAATTGTTATATACCTCAGCAATTGCATATTGTTCTTGTTAGCTGTATTTGTGTATTATTTATCTGAAATTAGCGGATTTGAGGATTTTATTACTCCCAGGGCCATGGTGTTCTCATCATGGCTACCTTTTTGAACATTCAGAGTGGATGTGTTAATATATGCACAAAAAGGAACGGTAAATAATAGTAAGGTTAATTGCAGATAGACCCTCTCCAGTATTGTTGTTTTGAACTTACTACACCTATAACTTTATTGTGGCAGATAGACCCCCAGAATGTACTTTTTGACTCTTTTCCCCCTCGATGAAAGAGGAGATCGTGTTTTGACAAATAGATCTCTGAAGATAAAAGAGTCAAAAAATTTCATTCTGGCAACAAACTTAAGAGGGTGTTACATTCAAAGCAACAATACTACGGGGAGTCCATCCGCAATTAGTCCAAATAATAACACCGCGTCTGATGCTTCAATAATCAGAATGCTTGTTCTTTAAATTTTCTTATACAAGTCCGGAAATGATGAACTGGCAATTTATGGACAGGCTCAGGACATTTGGAAGTATTATGTTTATAAGTATGAAGGATTAGGTTAGGTATCATGTCTCGCAGGATACGACAATGGTGGGACGTCTCTTCAGGTTGGACCGATTGATGTAGGGATTTAATTAAAGGAGGAAGTGTGCTGATTGATTTTAGTTAAACTAATTACATTGTGACGGCTCTCATTTGACTCTTGTGACTTCTTAAAGTAAACTTTTCTACCGCATCTCCCCATCCGATCACTTGCATTAATTATACTCTTTATTCTTCTTCTTCTTCTTCTTCTGCTTGTTTTTGTTTTTGTTTTTATTTTTATTTTTTCTTTTTTTTTTTCTCGCACTAGTGCTGCCGTGCGATGCACAAGAATTCGAGAGAGATCGGTCGATCGCAGCAGGTTTGGAAAAATAGTGCAGAGTAGACAGATTGAAACAACTGATGAGCTTTTATAGGCTTCTTCTAGAGATGATGCATAATGTTAAAGTAAGAGAGAGAGAGTATTGGGTAAATTTCTTTTGAATTGAATATTGAGTGTTTACATATATATATATATACAAGTAGAGGAGGGTGATGTTTGTCCTCATAACCAATATGAGACTAAACCCACTACTAACACAGTATTATCAACAGCCCCCTCAAGCTCATGTTGGATTAAACAAAATGAGTTTGCGTACAAGAAGCTGGAATCGATGAATGGGTAAGACCTTTGTGAAGAAATCTGCAAGCTCGTCAGCGGATGAGACATGAAGAAGTAGAATTATCTTGTCCTTGATAACTTGTTGACGGACAAAATGAGCGTCGAGCTCAATATGTTTGGTCCTCTCATGAAATACTGGATTATTAGCAATCTGGATGATACTTTTATTATCACAATAGAGAGGAGTAGGAGTCGTAACAGAAATACCGAAATCACTGAGAAGACGACGAAGATGAATAATCTTTTAGCTGTTGTGGATATTGCACGATACTCTGACTCGGTGCTGGAAAGAGCAATAACATCTTGTTTCTTACTCCGTCGGGAAATAAGGGAATCACCAAGAAATATACAATAACTTATGGTAGACTTCCTGGTAATGGGATCACCAGCTCAATCAGCACCAGAATATGCACAAAACTCTAATTTGGATGTAGCAGGGAACAGAAGAGAGCGAGTGCTAGTACCCCGGAGATACCGAAGAATTCGTAATAAGGCAGCATAGTGTACAGAATATGGGGCACTAACAAATTGACTGACAATGCCAATAACATGAGAGATATCTGGTCGAGAGATGCACAGATAGACCAACTAGCCAATAAGATATCAGTATCAGATAGGATCAGATAGAGGCTCACCATCAGTAGAGCGAAGTTTGACATTATATTAGAGTGGAGTATCGACAGTTGCATCGTCGTTAGCTCAGCACGATCTAGAATAACTGAGAGATACTTTTGTTGAGACAGTAGTACACCCCGCGGGCCCTGAGAAATTTCTAGACCAAGAAAATAGCGAAGAGATCCAAGATTATTCATGTGGAACTGTTGTTGTAATTGAGATTTTGCGAACTGTATATGAGCAACAACATCACCTGTAATGATCATATCATCTACATAAAGGAGTAATAAAACTTTGCCACGTGATGTAGTGTGAACAAATAGAGAAGCATCTTGATGACTCTCCATAAAGCCCACCTTGAGCACGACATCGCGAAAACACTCGGGGGTGCCTGTTTGAGACCATAAACAACACGACGAATGAGACATACGTCTTGGAGGAATATCGGACCCTGAAGGCGATTGCATATATACTGTCTCAGATAAAGAGCATGGAGAAAAGCATTCTTGACATCTATCTGGTATAAGGACCAACGATGAGCAGCAACAATCGCAAGTAGAGTACGAACGGTGGGCATCTGAGCAACAGGAGAAAATGTCTCCTCATAATCAATACCTTGTTGCTGAGTAAAACCACACTTCTGACAAAATCAACTTATCGACTCTCTTCAATAGAGTGATAAGTCCACAAAAATCTTGTTCAAATCATAAGTCCACCAAAAATTATCAAGTTAACACTATATCTCTGATAACAAAATCAACTTATCAATCATTTCCAATAGGATGAGAGGTCCACAAATGACTGTTATGTTAATACCACACCTCTAACAGTTAAACTCCCATAAACTTGTTGATTCTTTTCAACAGAATGACAAGCGTTCATTATCAAAACGTAGAGGTCCATCCCCGCGCTCTAATTTCAAAGCACGGAGGTCATCAACGCGTTCCAAATTCAAAACGTGAAGGTCATCCATGTGTTCCAAATTCAAAACGCAAGGGTCATCCCTGCATTCCAAATTCAAAATACGAGGGTCATCCTTGCATTCCAAATTTAAAACGCGAGGGTCATTCCCGCGTTCCAAACTTAAAATGCGAGGGTCATCCCCGCATTCTAAACTCCAAACGTGAGGCTCATCTCTGTGTTTCAACTTCAAAACGCGATGCTCACACCCGCATTTCAGAAGCCAAACACGAGGCTCACACCCGTGTTTCAGAAGCCAAACGCGAGGCTCATACCTACATTTCAGAAGACCGACGTGAGGCTCACCTCAGTGTTTCAAAAAGCAACAAAACGCGAGAGCTCACTCCCACATTTCTGAAGCAGAAGCATGACACTCACCCTGTCTGGCATGGCAAATTCCTTCAACCAAGTTCCTGAGGCCTTCGTAGTGGATATATAGAATAAATCCTTTATGATGAGGAATCAACAATTCCAAAATCAAATTTGAGATCCAAAGTATTTAGAAAATTCATTCCAGTCAACCGTGAACTTTTAAAAATTTTAGAGGGGGTTCTATAGGCTATCTAAAAATTATCGCAGATAGTCGATCTCCATCAAACATTAATGATGGAAGTTATAATTCCACGACTTTCAGAAGGCTACAATTTGAAGACTTTCACGTCAATCGACAAAGGTTGCAATTTAACTACCTTCACAATCACCAGCAAGAGTTACAACTGACGACTCTCACTGTGCAAAGAGCCAATACGAAGATTATAAGATGACAATCTTCACAACGCTCTAACAGAAGAGAATACACGTTGATGGTCTCTTCAAAGCAAAATGCGAAGTTCGTGGTCGTGTTCAGACTCAAAACGCGGAGCTCATTGTTGTGTTCCAGATTCAAGATGCAGAGCTCACCTCTGCGTTCCAAGAATAAAACACGGAGATCACCATCACATTTTCAACTCCACATGCAGAGCTCACCTTCGCGTCCCAAGTTCAAGACACGGAGTTCATTCCCAGAATGCGAATTTCACGTTTGACTCGTTCAAACACGATCGAAACGGTTTCAAAACTATTTTCCACGATTTAAGGGGATCACATCTGTTGGGAATTTGACGCCGAAATCCCTAATGCAACAGAAACGCAGAATAGAGAACAGTACACAAGATTTAACGAGGTTCGGCAACTGCCTACGTCCTCGGGAGCCACACAGATAATTTCTTATTAATCAAACAAGAAATTACAATTTAGGAGCAAATCTCAAAACTGAGATTTCTCAAATAAACACTGTAGCTACAGTGTTCAACGTCAATCTGATAACTCCGAGGGCTTGTCTATCTAGAAGGTTCCACTCTTCTTCCTTCATAGAATCCGGCTTCTTCCCCGATAGTGGTTGATACAGATTTTTCTGATACAGATAATCCTCTATCTGCATTTTCCAGAATCCGAAATCTGTTCCATCAAATTTCTCAAGTCTCATTTTTGCCTCATCTGCGGCCATGGCTCCCACTTGAATCTGACTTCCTCTAGATCGTTTCGCGCTCTGATACCAGTTGTTGGGAATTTAACGCTGAAACCCCTAATGCAACAGAAACGCAGAATAGAAAAAGTATACCAAGTTTTAACGAGGTTCGGCAACTGCCTACGTCCTCGGGAGCCACACAGATAATTTCTTATTAATCAAACAAGAAATTACAATTTAGGAGCAAATCTCAAAACTGAGATTTCTCAAATAAACACTGTAGCTACAGTGTTAATAATTAAAGGGTATGAACCCTTTCAATTCTCACTTGAGAATAAATGAACTCCACAATATAAAACCCCTTTTTAATTTTCTCTCTCTCTCTTCTTAAATCCCCTCAACTACTGTTGAAGACTGAGGATTAAATCAAAAATCGCAGCAGCGATTTAGGGCAGTCCGCCGCCGCCAGAAGAAGAAAATCGGAGGAGGGGAGGAGAAGCTCTGCCGCAGCATTCGAAACCCTAGGCGATGGGGGTTTTATAGGGGAAACTCGATGGGCTGGCGACAGCCTGTCGCCAGCGGCCGCTTGGACGCCAAGTTCGAGCCGACGCAGAGGTCGGATCCCCAAGAAACGCCGAGGTCAACAAAGGGTTCGAACGCAGAGCTAAAAGGAGGGGAAGGTTCGAACGCAGAGCTCGGGGGAGGTTCGAACGCAGAGCTCGGGGGAGGCGCTCGCACGCAGAGTCGGGGTTCGAACGCAGAGCTCGAGCTCGCCTGCGACCATCGAAGCTCACCTGGGCTACGCCTCCAGCTTCGCCTGCGTCGACATCGAGCT